CCTCCTGGCCCTCCATCTCCCCCTTGCCCTCTCCCCCCGCTGTGCCCTATCCTGGCCCTTCACCTCCTCCCCTTGAGCCCGCGCCTCTCCTCCTTGTTGTTGCGCCCCCCTCTGTTCTCCTCTTCGATTACGTCCCCGCCCCCCGCCACGACCCCTCCCATCCATCCGATAACATCCTCCGAACATGCCATTATCGTCACTAACTCCTCGTGCTCATCATCCGCCACGTCGCGCCTGCATCCAACTGGATGGCCTCCTCGGGGTAGTGCGCAGCCACGGCCGTTGGCCTCGGGCGGGCGCACGGCGCCCCTGAGGTCGGCGTCCGCGCACGTCGGGGCGGAGGCGTGCGCGCGGGAGTCGCGGGGCGCCGAAGTGGAGGGCGAACGGAGAGGTTGGGGAGAGCGGAGTAGGAGGAGAAGAGGTGGTGGATGAGAAGGCGAGGAGAAGGAGGAAAAGGGGAAAGGAGGCGGGAGAAGGAGAAGAGGGAGGCGACGGATGCGGTGGATGAGAAGGCGATGAGAATGAGGCAGGGGAGGAGAAGGTGAAGCTGGAGGAGGAGGTGAAAGGGGGGAACCAGTGCGCCTCCGAGGTTCAAGGTCTCGAGGCACCCCCATCAGGTGGAGCAGGTACCACATGGCGTCCTTCTGCTTGTCGGTGCACTGGGCGAGGGCCTCTGGGACAAAGGAGGTGGCAAGAACGCGAGAGGGGGGTGGGGTCGTTAACTTGGCGCCAGGCAAGGGCGTCATAATGACTTCAGGCTGGCGTCAGCCTGACGTCAGGCCGACGCCAGTCTGACGTCAGACTGTCGTCAGATTGACGTCAGTCTGATGTCGGACGCGGGCAACATACTGAAGTCAGTCTGACCTCAGTCTGACGTCAGCCTGGCGTCAGTATGACATCAATATGACGTCAGACACTGACACCAACCTGACGCCAATCTGACTTCGATCTGACGCCAGCCACGGACATCGATCTGACGTCAGTCTGACGTCAACCTGACGTCAGTCTGACGTCAGTCTGGCGTCAGTCTGACGTCAGTCTAGCGTCAGACTGGCGTCATTCTGATGTCAGGCTGGCGTCAGTCTGGCGTCAGGCCGACGCCAGTCTGACGTCAGACTGACGTCAGATTGACGTCAGTCTGATGTCGGACGCGGGCAACACACTGAAATCCGTCTGACGTCAGTCTGACGTCAGTCTGACGTCAGCCTGACGTCAGTCCGATCCATCAGTCTGGCGGCGGTCTGCCGTCAGGCTGACGTCAGTCTGACGTCAGACTGACGTCAGACCGACGTCATATTGATGACATAGTGGCGTCAAACTGGATCGAAGAAGGCCACTGATGTGGCCTGCTCTTCCTCATCATCCTTTTGACCCTCGTCTTCCTGATCCCTATCCTCATCTTCCTCCTCCGCATCCCCACCATTGCCGCTAGTGTTCCAATGCCTCCTTGCACAACCTCGCCATCCTCCCCCTCCTCATCGTTCCTCCCCCTCCTCCTCCTCTTCCTCCTCCTCCTCCTCCTCCTCCTCCTCCTCCTCCTCCTCCTCCTCCTCCCCATTACCTCTCGTACTCCTCCCCGTCGCGCTCCTCACCCACCCCCCATCCCCCCGTATTCGTCGGGCGCCTGTCTGCGACGCGTGCCGTTGTCGCGCACGCGTCGCAAGTGCTTGTAGATGGTGCTCAGCTTATCCGCCAAGCTGCCCGCGCGCTCCTCTGGGGAGCCCGCGCCCTCCCTGCAGCACCGAGGGTACCTCGGGGCGGGGCGGGGCGGCGGGGGAGCGAACCCTCATCCTCGTCTCCCTCCGCATCCCCCTCATCCTGACCCCCCCCCCCCCCTCCCCTCCTCCACCTCCTCATCCTCCTCCTCATCCAAATCCTCCCCCCTCACCTCCTTCCACCGCCTGCCCCTCCTCATCCTGGGCATCATCACCCACCTCCCCCTAAACCTTCCGCCCCTCCCCCTCCTGTGCCTCGTCATCCACTTCCTCATCATCCACCTCCTCCTCGCCTATGGGGCACTCGAGGATCGCGCAGGTGCGCGCGTCCCTGAGCTGGCCCCAGGTAGGTTCACATTCTGGAGCGCACTGGATGAGCAGCTCCACCCGGGCACGGCCAAGGCACGGAATGGCGAGGGCGAGGGAAAGGAGGATGGATGGCGACGGGGAGGGCACGGGGCAGGCGGACCAAGAGGAAGAGATGAGGAGGAGGAGGAGGAGGATTGAGAAGACGAGGACGGAAAGGGGGGAAGGATGCGGGGGATGGGGGAGAGGGGTGAAGGTGGATGGGGGAAGGGGGGCGGAGGGAGAATGAGGACGGAGGGGGAACGAGGACGGAGGGGGAGGATAAGGAGGTCGAGAATCATGGGAAGGAGGAGGAATGGGAAGTGGCTGAGGGAGGGGGGAAGTTGAAAGACGACCAGTGGCTGCCAGCATCGTCGCCACCGCCATCGATCGGCGCACTCATCGCCAAAGCCGCAGTCAAGCGTTGAGGAGGAAGAGGAGGAAGAGGAGGAGGAGGAGGAGGAGGAGAGGGAGGAAAGGGATGAGGAGGAGGAGGAGGAGGAGGAGAAGAGGGAGGAGGAGAGGGAGGAGGAGACGGAGGAGGAGAAGGAGGAGGAAGGAGAGAGGAGGGAGAGGATTTTTACGTGACCCCGCCCCTCCCACCAACTCGACATTCTTGGCGATGGACGGGGCATGGCACGCTTTGTCCTTCGTCAGCACGTGGTACATGCCCAAGTCGAAAACCCGTCTGCAACCAACATTGGCGACGTGCGCTTTCAGAGATGCCTCGAGGTCCCCGATGGCTGGCGCCGAGGGCCGACGAAGGGGGGGGAAAGGGCTTCATGAGCCCGAGGGGTTGCAGACGGGCCTGGCCCGCCCGCGCCCTCACCCCGAAGTCCTGCCTCGGGCAGCCAAAATGGCTGCACCCCTGGGTGCATATATAGAGACGAGGGCTGGGAGAACGAGAGAACTCTTACAGAGGTGAGGGGGGGGGGGAGGGGGGGAGGAGAAGGAGGGAGGATGCGTGCGAATTTTTGTTTACATGAGCCTGCCACCTTGCTCAGTGGCGATGCAGCGGCTGGCCTTGTTGGTCCGAGGCCGCCAGCACGCCAGCCTCGGGCTCGAAGTGGTACCACGCGCACCTGCATTGAAGGCTCGCACAGCGAGACCCCACAAACCAAACTGATATCAAAGTGGTGCGTGGCATGGGGGGGTTACCCTATGGAGGCTAGACCACCCCAGGGGTCCCAGGGATCCATCGGACCCCAAGACGGGGCCGACGATGGTTCAAGAGATAAGGTAATCGAAACCCAAAGGAGCACCCGTACGGGTAGTACAGGAACTCGGGCGCCTCCCAGATCAGCACGATGCTCTCTGGGTCGTGAAACCCACGGCGCTCCCTCGGGCGCCAGAAGGGCACGAACCAGCAATTGGGCACCCGATTCCAGCTCTTGAAAAACCAGAACGAGGGGCAGAGGTGGGCGCGGGGCACCTCCACCTGCCACGGCGCCCACGATGGCAAGGGCGGCCGCTCGCGCCACGGGAGGCACCGCGGAGGCGGCGGAGGAGGGGCCGCGGCGGTCATCTCCTCCTCCGTGGGCAGCTCGAGCCCCCATCGTGGGTGGCACTCCCCAGGGCGGTCTATGTCCAGACCGTCTGGGGGGTCGACGCACCGCCCAAGGAACGTCGAAGGGAGGCCGTCGCCACACCAGTCGGCCATCTACGGCCGAGGCCCGCGGGGGCCTCGCGGGGGCCTCGCGGGCCTGGCGGGGGCCTCGCAGGGGCTCGAGCCAAAGCTGCAGGAGAGATGAGAGGGGGAATGGGAAGGACTGGGACGGGGCGACTGGCTGGACAGAAAGGAACAGGGGGAGCAGGACGAGGATGAGGAGGAGGAAGAGGAGGACAGCTAAACAGGCGCATGGGGCATGGAAAGAAGAGGAGGAGGAGGAGGGGGTCGAGGAGGAGGAGGAGAAGACGGAGGAGGCGGATAGCGAAGAGGAAGAGGAGGAGGACAGCTAAGAGGAAGGAAAAGGAGGTGGAGGAGGGGAAGGAGGACGGATAAGAGGAAGAGGCCACAAGGGGTATGGGGTGCGAAAAAGGTAACAGTGGAGCGTGGCACAGTATAGCATACCATAGAAGAGCATAACAGACCATAGCACAGCATGGCGTCTCCTTACATATCATAGCCTTGCGTAGCATAGCATTCCATAGCATGGTATAGCAACGCATACCACATCATAACATCCCACATCATGGCTATCGTTACATACGATCGCACCATTCTCATCATCGTCGTCGTCGCTCTCGTCATCATAATTCTCGTGATCGAAATCGTCATCATCATCATTCTCGTCATCGGCATCGTCATCTTCATCCTCGTCATCATCATTCTCGTCCTCGTCATCGTCATCTTTGTCCCACCTCATTATCCTCATCATCGTCATCCTCATCGTCCTCGCCAACATCATGCCAACTACCGCATCTGGCGTCAGACCTTGCAAGGCCTGACAAGAGCGATCGGTCGCGACCAATCGCGACCGGTCGCGCCCAGTCTCGGGTACCGGTCGCGACCGGTCGCGACCGGTAACCGTTCCCGAAAAAAATCTGCCTCGGGGACCGATCCCGTCGGTCGCGCCCGAGATTTTTCGGGCTCGCATGATCTGGGAGACCCGGGTCTGTTACGCTTTGGAGGATCCTGCAAGATCCTGCAGGATCCTGCGCCCAAGCCCGGGTCAGTGCACCCCTGGCCATGCAGGATCCTGCCAGATCCGGCGCTCTGACTGACCCCCTCTTGCATTGACCCCCGTCTCTGGAGCCCCGATCTGGCTCCTCAGAGATCCGATGTTGTGATTTTTGTCAATGCGCGGTCCCCCGAAGTCTCGACCCCCTCCCCAAGACCGGTTTTGCATCCTGAGTCGTTTTTTGACGGTCCCGGGGCCCGGCGAGGGCCCCTGCATGGAGGCCGAAAATTGAGAAATACCTTCGTTGGATCTCTGGCTCCTCCTCCTCCTCCACGCCGGGCTCGGGGACGTGCACGATCGCCGCGCCCACCTCGCGGACGCCGGCGTCGAAGAAGTGGAGGGCCACGGGCCTCCAGCCACCCGGGACGTGGCGGTCGACGGCGGGAGCCGGCGGAGGCCTTCGGCGCCACGTTTTCTGTCGTCGTCGCCGCCGCCGCCTTCGTCGTCGTCGTCGTCGTCGTCGTCGCCGTCGTCGTCGTCCTCGTCGTCGTCGTCGTCGTCGTCCTCGTCGTCGTCGTCGTCCTCGTCGTCGTCGTCGTCGTCGTCGTGGTTGAGCTCCCATTTTCCATAACGATTCTTGTTGATCCCCCCTTTGGTGCCAATGGTGTTTCTTTCCAAATGCACTGCTCCTCATGGGGCTCGCACACATGTTTTTCCACAAAGGGAAATCTTGCGCCTCATATTGGGCAGCCGGGCCCCGAACTACCACAACAATGGCTCACGCCTGATCCTCCCTCGCGGTTGATGTCAGAATCGTGCTTTCAAGCTGGACTTTGTCAGACTGTATGTAGGAATCGCGATCTAGAGTGGGACTTCCTCGCAATGTACTCAGACGCAGCCCTTCCGCCGACGCCCCCCTGGGAGGGGAGGGGCAATCTAGGTGCGCTAGCGTCACATCTGACGTCGTACCCCTCCCTCCCAGCCCTTAACCATGGCGTGGATCTCCTGTCTATTCCCACCATCATATGTCGAGCAGGGCAATGATCCCAAGAGGGTACGCGATGGATGGAAAAGCACGGCGTAGAAGAGCACGGCAGAGCATATGTAGCATGTCAGAGCATGGCGTGGCATTGCGTAGTGAAACATTGCATCACAATGCATAGCAACGCAAAACATGACATCGCACAACGGTGCAAAACACAATATCGCATTGCATGCCGTGCCATGGCACCAGATGACTTGGAGGGTAAGTGGCCCGTCTACGAGAGGACAAGGCCTGTCCGGAATGCCGGCTCCATGTCCTCCGCAATCGTGCCGGCCCGATTTGGGCGCTTTTGAATGCCAAGTGCCGTCCGGAGGCGCGGGAATGAGGCCAGCGCTGCAGCGGGAGCACCATTTTGAATGACCGAAGTGCGGTAATGAGGGCGGCGCTGCAACGGAAGCACCATTTTGGAAGAACCAGGAACGACCGTATTGAAAAACACATCGGAGAAACCAACTAATCAACTCCTGCGTGAAAAACAATACGCGGAGAGGACGGGACACTCTCCGGATAGAGTCAGGGGACAGAGGAGAGTAGTATTCATATCGTGTAATTATATATAGAATATGATCAACGCGCCCAGTAAGGACGCGCGCCTTCATCTAGGGCGCCCTAGTGTCATTGCCTCTGCGGCCCGTCCTTTGCCGGATTCTCTGGTCGCCCGCCGCACAAAACGTCCTTACCACCCGTCCTCAATGCACGCTTTGACTGTAGGGGAGGAGAGGGGAGGGCCCAAACATACGAGACCTGACCGCCATCTCTGTTCCCCACTTCGGGACGGGCTCTCCGCCGCTGTGGTTGTCTCTTGATGGCTCCCAAGGCCTGGAAAGGGGTTCTAAGTGGGCAAGCTGACCGCGATTTGGTATTGTTGTTGTTTCCCGCGGTGCAAAGAGCGGCGGCGCGCCCATTGGGGTAGCCTGAGGGAGCAAGCCTTCTCAGAAGGCTCAGTTTTTTGGCCCTCCTCCGAAGCCACAGAGGGCTGCTCAAAAGGTCGGATCGCTTCTGGGAAGCCTCCGCCGCCTTCTGAGAAGGCCTGACCTCGCTGCCCTCCCTGAGACCCGACGTCGTGAAAACGTTGAAACACCGTAGAGAGCCTCGACCAGGGCCCTGGACCTTATCTTTCTGCGCCACTTTTCCAGCCGAATCGATTTGCAATGGTCCTGGGGCCCGAAGCAAGGCTTAGGCTGGGCATGTCCGCCTACAGGCGGATTTTGGGCGAAAAATCGAAAATATCAAAAACAACTACTGAAACAAGATTCCCCAAATGCCCAAAATACTGAAGAATCGTCCCCAGACCATTTTTTTGTCAGCTTCTGCATCTTCTTCCTGCAGAGGGACGGGCCCGACCCTGAAACAGGGCGACGTCGCCCGCCGCGTAACAAAATGGCCAACGCCCGGACCTCCGGGTGGTTGCCCCCTCGGCGCGCCGCCGGCCCACAGCCCGAGGGGAAGGCTCGGGCCTCGGCAGGAGCACCGCGTGGAAGACCCAGCGCGGGCGCGCCGCGCCGTGGGGCCGCGGGCAGAACTCCGAGAGCGGGCGGTCGCCGTAGCCGGTCGGCTGGCCACCGCCGGCGACGGCCAGTGCCTCTGCCCCGTCGTCGACGCCGTTGCCGCCATCGCCGCCGTCGCCGCCATCGTCGTCGCCGCCACTACCGCCGCCACCACCACCATCATCATCACCACCACCACCACCACCACCACCATCATCATCATCATCATCATCATCATCATCATCATCATCATCAGCATCAGCATCATCATCATCTTCATCATCAACACCACCACCACCACCATCATCATCATCATCATCATCACCACCACCACCACCACCACCACCATCATCATCATCATCATCATCATCGTCATCACCATCATCATCCTCATCCTCATCATCATCATCATCACCACCACCACCACCACCATCATCATCATCATCATCATCATCATCGTCATCATCACCATCATCATCCTCATCATCATCATCATCATCATCAACATAATCATAAGCATCATCATGATCAACATGATCAACATGATCATCATGATCATCAACATCATCATCAACCCCATCATCACAATCACCATCATTACCATCATCATGAACATCATGATCATCATCATCATCACCAACATCACCACCACCAGTATCACTTTCAGCACCATGATCATCATCACCATCACCATCACCATCACCACCATCATCACCACCATCAACATAACCATCACCATCACCATCACCACCACCATCATCATCATCATCACCATGACCATCATCATCATACACATCATCACCATCACCTATCACCCATCACCATCATAATCATCATTCATCATCACCATCATCAGCATTAGCATCATCATCAGCATGGCCATCATCATCATCATATTCATACCCAGCATCATCAGATGCAACACCATCATCATCACCCCCATCATCATCACCACCACCATGATCATCATCCTCATCATCATCACCATCAGCACCGGCATCAGCATCAGCATTATCATAATCATCAGCAGCATCATTATTATTATCGCCATCACCATCATCTGCATCATCACCATCATCATCACCATCAGCATCAGCATCACCATCATCATCATCATCATCATCAGCAGCATCGTGAGCTTCATCGTCATCATCAGCATCATCATCATCACTACAGCAGCAGCATCAGCAACAGCAGCATCAGCATCCGCAGTATCGTCGTCGCCGTCGCGGCTGCCGTCGGCCTCTGGACTGAAGGCGGGGGAGTCCGCCACCCAGGAGGGCCTGCCCCGGTCGAAGAGCCACAGCGACCGGCCCTCCTCCAGGGCCCCCGCCAGCCCGAAGGCGCTCGCGACGCGCGACCAGAAGGCGCCGATTGTCCACCGGATGTCCACCGTCATCTCCTGCGACTCGACCTGGCCGGCCCCAACGCCCTCAGGACGAGGGCAGTGCCAGGACGAGAGTGGTCCAGGATGCGTCTCAGGAGTTCTGGAGCCTCCCGCGGCCCTTGCTCTCTGGAGCCCGTGCGGAACCACGGGAAATCCCGGACACGTTGGAGCGTATCGTTGCCACGCCTTCTTGCGCCTCTGATCCCTGTGTGCGCCGGCGCCTGCCTCTCCCGGGGGGGCCCACTTCTACGCACTCCCGCCGGATCCCGCCAGCGGGGCCGCCCTCGTTTTGCTCCCGCCGTCTTCCACCGAGGCCGAGGCGTGAGTTCACCGATCCCTCAATGGCGAGTCCCTGGCTCAAGCGCCCTGCCTAGGAGCGGCGAGGCCTGGGCGACGAACCGACCGGGTCTCGCGCCCGTTGACATAGCGACCTTACGCGGTGGCCTGCGGAGAACCGATGCCGGGCCCGAGGCGGCCCAGCATCGGTTTCGGCGAGCAGGCCGCGACGACGAGGATGACGAGGACGAGGACGACGAGGAGGAGACGAAGACGAGGACGAGGACGAGGACGAGGACGGCGACGACGGCGACGACGACGACGAGGACGGGGACGACGAGGGCGACGAGGACGACGAGGGGAGCTCCTGCTCGCCGGCGTCTCGAGGGCGCGAGGCCCCCGCGTCTCGTGTGCGGTTCCCGTCGTGCGGGAGGGCCGCTTCCCAAAAAGTGCCTTCGAGCACCCCGAGGGACAGAGAGGCCTCCTCCTCCTCCTCCTCCTCCTCCTCCTCCTCCTCCTCCTCCTCCCAGTCGATTGTTGATCCTCCTCCTCCTCCTCCATTTTCCTCCTCATCATCCTTCTTCTCTCCTTCCCAGACCTCCTCGCGGGGCGCAGCCATGCTGGTATCTTGCGCTTCGTGCTAGCTCTCAGCGCTAACGTGCATGACAAAGGGGATGCCAACTCCTCGGCTCGCTCGCCGTGCGACGTCTGGCAACCGCAGCTCGAATGACGCACCGTTGTGCCTGGCAGCAGTGTCTGCCCGGCACGCTGGCGAAATGCCGAACGAATAGCGCCTCCCAGGGCCTGGCACGTGAAACTCTTCTTCCAGCTTCGAGATCTTTTCTTGGTGCCCGATCTTGTTTGGTGATCAAGGCTGAAGAAGGTTGGACCATGAAAAGCCTCGTCCAGAGGCCTCCCAGATGGGGTCCAGGCTGATGGGGTCGGAGGATCGTGCCGCATCGCCAATGCATAGGCAATGCATCGGCGATGCATGGGCGATGCATCGCCGACGCAGGCGACGCAACGGCGGTGTCGGCGCGGAGAGAAGCGGGCTCCACATCGAGCCACATCGCCACCGTGTCGGCGATGCGGCGCGATCCTTCGACCCCACCTACTCCGACCACCATCTGGGAGGCTCTCTCCTCGAAGCGCCCTTCTTAGAAGTCGCGGGCCTTACATCTATAGATGTAAGGCCCGCGACTTCTGAGATGCAGCCTCCTTCTCAGAAGCCTTCCCCTCCCCCTACCCCCCCTTTTCGGCTACACGCACGAGTGACCCTGGGTAAGAAGTGACCTTCGGTGCGTGGCTTTCGGGGAGCCGCGGGGGGCCACTCCCCAGCGCGCAAGACGCACCTATCGCATCGCCTTCGACAATCGGGGGACCCCAGTGGGCGCGCATCAAAGGTCACTCCAGCGAAAGGTCACTCTTACGTGCAGTCGACCTCAGCACCTAGCTGCCCCGATGCGCCGCACGCAGGACGCAACACGTAGCGTATTGGCACGGAGCTCAACAGGCCTGGCGCGAGACGCTCGCCACAACGTGGGCCAACCCGTCGAGCCAACACGCGCCACGTGCTGACACGGACGTCTTCAGCACGGTACGTGTTGCGTGCTTTTTTTTTAACGGGCGCCTCGAAGCAGCCGAGCCTCTGCGCGTGTCCGCCTCGCTTCGCATCGCCCCCCGCCCTCCGCGCCCTCGGGGCCTCCGTGTCCGCCGGCGGCGCGCCCCCCTCCGCGCCGCCGCCGCCCTCGTGCGCGGCGCCCTCCTCCGCCGAAGCCCGCCCCGCCTCCCCCCCACCTTGGCACGCCCGAGGTGGGTGCGGAAAGGATGGGTACCATGTATCGACCCCCTTTTGGCGTCGTGTTCTTGTCACGGCGCGCGCGCCCCTCGGAGGCCCTGGGCCGGCCTCGAGCTTACCCTTGGGTCGGGCATGTCCTCCTACAGGCGGATGTTGGAGGACACATAGAGCACATAGTCTTGAATATTCTTCCTGAAGAGGGACTTGCCCGACTTCAACTTACCCGCCAGTCGGAAGAAATTGATACAAACATGAAGCAGGAAGCCGGATAAAGCAGACTAGGCTCAGGCCCTCCCAGAGAATCACACAGCACAGCACGAGCACATTGGTTGTGGAAGTGGGAAAGCGCCTGCAGCAGACTGGGATCTGGAGATCCAGAGATGCCCACTTCCGACGACTGGCGCGTATCTCCGTCCCTGAGATCGGCAAGCGCCACGGCAATGACAATCTCGGGGGTGTGCCCTTGGAGAAGGAGGGGGCCCTTGAGATGGGCACCGAGTCTTTCATTCCACAGGAGATCAAGACGCGCTTGCCTGTTGTCAGCAGATGTTCCTCCACGGACTTGTTTTGTGGTCCCATTCGGAGTCCCACCGAAAGCCCAAGAGGAAGCGCTCGCATGCGGCTCCCCCACCGAATGCAGCGCTTCGCGCCCACAAAGAGCTCCACCGAATGCCCCACGAGGAGCGTTCACATGCTGCTCGCCCACCGAATGCAGAGCTTCGTGCCCCCATAATGAGCTCCACTGAGGGCCCCACAAGGTGTTGCCAAACGTAGGGGTCGGGATGTGTTCCAAGCTGGTAAGTCCTCGGCCCCGCGCAGAAAGGGGGGGCGTTCTCCCCCGAGGTCCGCGCGAGGCTTCTGGCCCCTACAAAAGGAGCTCGACCACACGAAACCTTCCACGAGAAACCCGACCCTGAGTCCCCAGGACTTCCACTGATTCTTGGTGAGGAAAGTCGCGCTTTCCATAGCAAAGCCATCGAAACCCAAGGAACTCAGGGCACACTGGAGGCAAGCAGGGTGTTTCTTGGCATGGGTGTCCACTGTACCAGGCCTCGGGGCCGTCAGACAACGACTTCAGGATGAAAGACTGTCCAGGGGGAAGGGGTCGGGACCTTCAGGGACCCCGTGCTGAAAACATTCGGATATCGCACGTTCGGTGGCACTCAACGAGGTGAGGTTTCAGACGTCTGCGTCGGTCCCTGGGCGTGCTCTCGCCTCGGGGATCGGGTGTTGGTAGAAGTGCCCCTGGCCCAAGGTGCCCCCAGCTTTTCGCTCCATGTTTGAGCCCCTGGGGCCTTCTGGGCCTCGTGAGGGGTGCCCTGGAGGCCGTCCGGGCCACCCCGAGAATCCTGGGGGTACCTTGGGCCAGGGGTACTTCTAGCAACACCCGAGGGGAGCTCTCCAGCAAGCTGCGCCTCGCCGAGAGCGTGTCCCCGGGGTGCCCAGGCCGTCCCGAGCGGCGGCGGGAGGCCCGACCTCCTGCCTGGAAGCTGAGCTCGGAGGGACTCCTGAGATCTGGGCGTTGCAACTTCTTCGCTCCAGGCATTTTCGCTCGGGTTTGGATCCCGGGACCATCGCGGATCGATCCGGCATGAAACCGAGCCCGAAAGGTGGGCTCGGAGGGCTTCCTGAGGTCTGGGCGTTGCAACTTTTTCGCTCCAAGCGTTTTCGCCCGGGCTTGGATCCCTCGGCGGTTGACAAACCTCCCTTTGGTAAACCACCCTTTAGTGAAAACGGCCTAGGACCGAAACCGACGGACCTGGACCCGCAAAAATGACGGCCGCGACGCCCTCTCGCGAACCGAAAACGACCAATTCACTAATCGACGTGTCAGGGTAGGAGGTCTATCAACCTCCGATTTTTCGCTCGGGTTGGATACCTGGACCATCGCGGATCGATCCGGCTTGAAACCGAGCGCAACGGGAGGACGGGGTCCCGGGCTCCTCCCACGATGTTGCACTCGTTCCGCAACGTTGGTTCTCAGGGTCTCCTCCCGCGACCGCGCTCCCCCACCTTCGACGACGAGAATTTGCAGCCCGGGCGACTTTTTTCTTTCTGATTTCCGCTACCGGAGGCCCGTCGCCGGGCCCTGTGCCATCAGCAGCGGACCTGGCGCGAAAACAGGACCCCCAGAGAAGCGGGCGGGACGGTGGGGCCGCGGACTGGAAACATCATCCTTAAGGACCCTCCACTGCACGGTTCCCCCCCGGGGCCGTGGGCGACCCGAGGAGGAGGAGGAGGAGGAGGAGGAGGAGGAGGAGGTGGAGGAGGGGGAGGGGGAGGAGGGGATTGAGGAGGCGGAGGAGGAGGAGGAGGAGGAGGAGGAGGAGGAGGAGGAGAGGAGGAGGAGGGGGAGGGGGAGAAGGAGAAGGAGGAGGAGGAGGAGGAGGAGGAGGAGGAGGAGGACGGGTCGCCTAAGCCCTTCGGAGAAACCCTCCACCCTCCACTTCCAGCTTCCACACCTTCCGACGTCCGCGGAAGGTGCGGAGGAGTTCATCGAAACGCATGGGAACCATGCGCAGTTCAAAGAGACCAGCACAGACCATATCGAAAAAGGGGCGGAAGTCTAGGGCGGACGGTCTGGAAGAGCGAGGGGGAGGGGATGGGATGTGTCTGGCCCTGACATCGGACGTCGCGACGACTGCAGTCTCTTGAGCAATCACAGCCAGGGCCCTGGACCGCATCTGCGGAGCGGGATCGATACCCAACGGTGGTCCTGGGGTCCGAAGCCTGGCGAAGGCGCCCGCCGTGGAAAAAATCGCGCGGGGCACGGCAGGGATCCCCTCATCGAGACACCGCGATCGACACGTCGCGATCCCCGAACGAAGACATCTCGATCCGATCCCCTAATGAAGACGCCGCGATCCCCTAACGAAGACATCGAGACGCCGCGATCGAAACGTCGCAATCCACTGAGGAAGACATCGCGATCCCCTAACATCGAAAAATCGCGATCGCCTAAAATCGAAGGCAAGCTCGAGCCCCGGATCGAAACACATCGCGATCTCGATCCTGGCGCGAGAAGGGAGGCCCGCGTCCTGGGCGTCCTCGGCCCGGGGGCCCGCCAGAGGCCGAACGTGGCCAAAACCTTCCACGTCTTGGCGGCGCGCCCAGGGGGGAAGTTCCTCCTCCCCTCCCTCCTCCTCCTCCTCCTCCTCCTCCTCCTCCTCCTCCTCTCTCCTCCCTCCTCCCTCCTCCTCCTCCTCCTCTCCTCCTCCTCCTCCTCCTCCTCCCTCCCTCCTCCTCTCCTCCTCCTCCTCCTCCTCCTCCTCTCCTCCTCCTCCTCCTCCTCTTCCTCCTCCTCCTCCTCCTTCTCTTCCCTCCTCCTCCTTCCTCCTCCTCCTCCTCCTCCTCCTCTTTCTCATTCATCTCTCGCCTTCTTGCAGAGGGGGCGGGCCTTCTCAGAAGGATCAGACCCAGACCCCCTCGAGTCATGACAGAAAACACGACGGGAGGTTCCTCACTATTTTGAGCCTGCGGGAGCCCTTACTGGGCCTTTTTGGGACCGTCAAATAACGACTCGGGATGAAAAACCGGTCCCAGGGAAGGGGTCTGGACCTCCAGAGTCGACGTTATGAAAAATTCATGACGTCGGGGGTTTGGGTCAGAAAGTTCAGAAGGCCTCTGGCCTTCTGAGAAGCTTGCTGAACCTTCTCCGAAACCGCAAATGGCTTTTCAGAAGGCCGGAGGGCTTCCGAGAAGCCCCGCCGCATTCTGAGAAGGCCTGCCCCTTCTGCCTTCCCTGACATCCGATGTCGCGACAAACTTGAAGCATGGTAAAGAAACACGACCGGAGCCCTAGACCCCCTTCAATCTGTGGTGGCCCCAGGGCCCGAAACAAGGCAAACTCGCCCGCCGTGTAAAACTTGCAACGCCTGGACCTCAGCCCAGACATGCGATGTCTCGTTTTTTTCCGATACGGGGGCCCTGGAAATCCTGACACCTTCCCCAGGACCGGTTTTTCTTCCTGAGTCGTTATTTGACGGTCCCGAGGCCAAGTAAGGGCTCCCAGAGGCTCAAAATAGTGAGGAACCTCCCGTCGTGATTTCTGTCATGACTCGAGGGGGTCTGGGTCTGATCCTTCTGAGAAGGCCCGCCCCCTCTGCAGGAAGGCGAGAGATGAGGGAAGAAGAGGAGGAGGAGGAGGAGGAGGAGGAGGAGGAATAGTCCTGGGGCCAGTAAGTACTGGGGCCAGGTAAGGGCCCTCTGGAGACCCCGAGCGGCCAAGAACGTGCCGCTCGACTTTGTTTCAGGATGCGAGCACGTCTTGGGGCCTTGCCAAGCAGCATTTCGAGGAGAGGATCGACAGCAGAATTGATTCACCCCAAACTTGATCGCTTCCTCGAGTCTAAAAGATACGTAGACAATGTTTTTCGGTCCACGAAGCTTCCACGTACGTTTCGCAACAGCGACGAAACAACCAATGTTGGCGCAAATCACTCTCAAATGCGACCCGAGACCTCGCGATCCCCTAGGCGAGACACCGCGATCGAACCGTCGCGCTCCCCGAATCAAGACATCGCAATCCCCTAACAACAAAACCTCGCGATCCCCCCATCGAAAGGAAGCTCGATCCCCACATCGAGACATCGCGATGTCGATCCCGGCGCGAGGGGGGGCGGCGTCCTGGGCGTCCCCGGCCGGCCGCCCCGGGGCGCCCCAGCGGCCGTCGGCCGCCACGCCGTCTGGGCACCAGGGCGCCACGGGGCTGTGGAGGCGCACGACCACCTGAGACGCAGCCGGGGCGAGAACAAATCCGGGTCAGGACAAATCACTGCGCCGACCTTGCAGACGTGCTGCAGCGGATTTTTGCGTGGATCCCTGCCAATGCAGAACCCCGAAACGGCGAGTGACGAACGACGCGGCATTCGCGTGGATTGATTTTAGTCTTCATTCCGGGCCAATAAAAAATCCGCACGAAAATCAATTCGAAATCCGGAACGAAATTCTCCAGGACACTCCGGGCCCATCTTATCGTTTTCCAAACGAAATCCGCTCTGGGATGTTGGCGCCATGAGATAGGCAGCCCGTATCAAAAGGATGCGCGGTAACTCCAGGCTTGAAGGGGCCCTGGGACACACACATACATGCACACAAGTAACAAGATTCCCAATATTTTCCTATATTTTCTGGGTTTTTGTCTTCTCCCCCACTTCCCATAATTTCAACATTTTCTAGTGAATCGACGATTAATTGTGTCTGTGTGTTTCCTCCTGAGAGGCTGAAAAACTCAGCCCGCCGGAGGTCGGGTTTTCGTGCTGGAGGACCTGGGCCTCACAGAGAGCTCGTGGGCCCGGCCAGTGGCGCGCTATAGTGGTCACCGGAGCACGTATTAGTGATCCCTGCAATTGAGAAAACGCGAGGGAACGAGGAGCAGTGAGGCATTTGAAGATCACGAGTGGGCCAAAAGCCATTGCATTCGTGGGTCAGATGCGTGAGGTGGGCCACGAGCGGGCCAAACTCGTGAGTGGGCCACTCGCGGGCCCTTTGTGGGGCGAGAGAATACATGACACCAGAGAAAAGCCCCAATCAGTGGATGGTTTCCACTGAGGAAATCGACCGGGAACCTGGGAGCCCAGGAACCCACTGCTTGGGGAAAAAGGCATTCTATTAACGGCTTTTGGGGGCAGCCCTGCGTGAGGCTTTTGGAAGTTGGCAGGCCTGGGCCTGGCTCGTGACCTTGGCGCACAGGTCCTTCACGCTGAGCACCTTGGGGTCGCCGTCCGCGTCCAAGTCCCCGGCCTCGCTGCCCTGCAAGGGCGGGGTGAGGAGGAGGAGGAGGAGGAGGAAGAGGAGGAGGAGGAGGATAAGGGAGAGGAGGAGGAGGAGGAGGAGGAGGAGGAGGAGGAGGAGGAGACGGAGGAGGGAGGAGGGAGGAGGAGGGAGAGAAAGAGGAGGAGGCGGTGGGACAGGAGGAGCAGGAGCAGGAGGGCGGCTAGCATGATGATGACGACGATGATGATGAGGATGCTGCTGATGATGATGATGCTGCTTCTGATGATGATGATTATGATGATGATGCTGATGTTGAGGATGCTGATAGCGGTGATGATGATGCTGCTGATGATGACGATGATGCTGGTGCTGCTGAAATAATGATGAAGGAGGAGGGTGATGATGATGATGATGATGATGAGGAGGAGGAGGAGGAGGAGGAGGAGGAGGAGGAGAAGGATGTGGAGGAACAGGCAGGAGAGAAGGCAAGGAACAGCAGGAGGACGACCGGGAGGAGGAAGAGGAGGAGGAGGAGGAGGAGTAGGAGGAGGAGGAGGTACACGAGGACGGCGACGACGAGGAGGACGAGGAGGAGCAGCGACGGCGGGCCGTGAAAAAGCGCGAGGGCAGCCGAGGGGGGGGGGGGCGGGAGGGCGCGCGCCGGCGGCACAGGCTGCCAGACCACGACGTCGCCGGAGTACAGGCCCTCCTCGCGGCGGGAGGGCGGCGGTCGGGCCGAGGCTCGCGCGAGAGGGTTTTGGCTTCCGCTATGAGAGAAGAGGAAAAGAGGACCACGAAAAACACATCCCCAATGCCAAAATCGCGGATTCACCGAGGGTTCGAAGATCGGCCAAAGATTTCGGGGTATGTTTTGCGTTCGTCGTCGTCGCCTTGGTAAAACCCTACCCCAACATCTCCCTCCCCGAAGTCTCGAGGAGCCTGCATTTTGTCTTGGCCCTCGCGCTTTTGGTATTGGGCGTCTGTTTTCACTTAGTTCAAAGAAGCATGTGTATGTGGCTGTGTTCTTTGATTCCATGTCATGTTTCTGCCGTCTTTTGTGGTTGCTCTTCGTTTGCTTTCGCTTCGGGATATCGCAGCAGCACCCGCACGATTCGGTGCTGTGTGACATGCCCTCGCTGGCTACGCATTTCTGGTTGCTTTTTCGGTGCCTTGGCCATGTGTCTTCTCTGATACTGAACGTGCTGGCCACTCAGGCAAGTTGTTGCGTCACTTGGGTGCAACCGTCCTCGTGCGCGGACGACCGCTACGCCCTCGTGAAGCCATGCGGCTTACTGTGGCAGTCCTTGAGATCGCTCAGCGATGTTGTTGCTTGCGACACGCTACCCGTGTGAGGACGTGGTCTCTGAAGGGGATATATAGCAAAATATGAGGAACTGCAAGGGGTGCGCGACGATGGGAACATTGACGATGATGACGATGATGACGATGATGATGATGATGATGATGATGATGACGACAACGACGACGATAACGATGATGCTGCCGATGATGATGCTGATGATGATGATGCGGATGCTGCTGTTGATGCTGTTGCTGCTGCTTCTAATGATGGTGATGATGACGATCATGTGTGCATACATATACAGACATTCAGATACTTATACATACTGTTTGTGTACTATATGTACGCACCATGTGCATGCATGCATATAGACCCACGAGCGCGAATCGCGTGCTTATGTTATAGCATAGCATGCATGCCCCGACCCTCGACAGGCATACAACTGCACATGTGTACACGTATACCCATTCGTTGAATATGAACTGCGCTGAAGATGACAAACAAAACACCCTTAGAAGGTTGAAACGGAACGCCTCACCACATGTCCGCCCTTGTCCTCCTCCCTTTTGTCCTTATCCTGCTCCTCCTTCTCGTGCTCACCCTTCTTCTTCTCCTCGTCCTCATACTCATCGTCCCCCTCCTGTCCTCCTCCTCCTCCTCCTTCTCCTCCATCTCCTCCTCCTCCTCCTCTTCCTCCTCCTCCTCCCCCACCTCCTCATTGGGACTGTTCTGAAGCCTCTTTCTCTCGTCCTTCTGTGCCTCCCCGTCCTCTCCCTCCTGTCCTTCCTCGTGCTCGTCCTCACCATCTTTGTGGGGCTAATCTTAGGTCGGGCATGTCCCCCTACAGGCGGATTTTGTGCGAAAATGAAAAGTAGCCAAAAAGTACACCAAAACAGTACAACATAGTCACAACATCGTCTCCAGATTACTGTTGACTATTTTCGAATACTTCCCCTGTAGAGGGACAGGCCCGACTTAAGGCTACTCTGGATGCCCTCTGGGGCTCGGAGGCGTAGGCCATCTCGAACACATTTTGGGACTGTCCTGGGTCGTCGTGGGGCCTCCAGGGATGGGAACGTACAAACAAATACTTTAGTGGCCTTTGGCCAAGCCCGCCACCGTGCTTGGGTCGTAGACAAGAGGCCTGGTTGGGCATTTCTCTTGGGAGGCCTCTCGGAGACCTCGTGAAGCTATTTTTGGGGCCTCTGGTGAGCCTCTTGGAGCCTCTGGGGGGCGTCTTGGGGGCCGTTCGGGGTCTATTTGGGGCCTATTTGGGGCCGCTTGGATGCCTCTTGCGGCCCTGCTGGAGGTCTCCGGAGCCATGTTGGATGGCGGGCTCGAATTGGTAGTGCGGGTCCCACTTTCGGGCCTCTCTTGGGGCCCTCCAAGGGGCCGCTCGTGCCGTTTTGGTTGGGCTGTCTTGCGGGCCTCTTGGGCGCCTTTTGGGCCGTCTGGGTGCTGTCTTGGGGGCCTGTGGAACTGTCTTGGAACGTCGGAAGCCCAAAACGGCGAGATCTCTGAAATCAATTAAACATGTATGGAACGTGTACGAGTTTGGTTTATTCGAAACCTCCTGGGGAGCCTCTTACAGGCCTCCCAGACCGTCTTGAAGTATCTTGGGCCGTCTTGGAGCGCTCTTGGGCCGTCTGGGTAACCTCTTGGCTCCACTTCTGTGCCTCTTGGGGCCCTCTGCGACCGCGTCGGAATACCCCTGGGCCTTCTTAGAGTCACGTGACGCCCTCCCAGAGCCCACCGGGGGGTGATTGATCGGAATATTCTTGAGGAGGGCCGGGGCCCTGGGGCTGGTGACCTGGTATTCATCATTACGCCTTCTCTGTCTATTAATCTCCTGTATGTGTATATATTATTATTAGAAAGGAAGTGTGCGGGAAGTGATCTAAACTCAGGTGGCCAAGGCGTTGGGCCCAGATTGACTGAGTTTGGGCCCTCTATGCACCAGAATGCCTGAGTTTTGGGCCGACCAGGCCAACACTTAAGCTTCCTGTTTTGGCTCTCTTTGTTTAGATTCCTCTAGCCATATTCCAAGCATGCATCTGTTTCTTATCGGGCTGGAAGCTTAAAGGGGCCATAGTGTTTGATGAGGATGTGATGGTGTGTGGGTGGTGTCTTGTCTTGTCGTTGATAAGAAAGGCCACTTGTGTTTGAATGGTGCTCCGATGTAGTTTTACATTGGGCATTTGTGTTCTACTGTAGCTATTCTTAAACTTCGGAACAATAGAACTGCGTCATGGCGTATACGCGTTTTCGGTATGTCGATGCAAGGAATAGGACGTTCCTGCAAAGAAAACGTCTTAAACTGCAATATATGTCCCTACAAGCGCGGGCGAGACGACTGGATCATGATGATGGTTCCAATGACGGCGAGCGGTGGTGATGATGGGGACCCTTGATTCACGGAGTTCGACCAGAAGCCTGATTTTGACCCTCCGCTTTCATTACCTAAGTCTTCTAGAACTTGAACGCGAAACCATTTTCTGTGCTCCCGAAGCCACCTTGCACATTCAAGAACTCGAGTGAAATGAAACACTGCAAGATCAAATGACCTGCTGCCAAAAATGATGGGGAAGTCTCGAGTAATATGCCAGCCCTTCTCTGCGCAGAAATTTAGGGAGCTGGCCCTGTAACTGCGCAGAAGTGTACAGAAGCAAGTGTATCGAGGATTGAGCTTGCCCCTTGCCTGCGCAAAACTGCACATCACCTTGACCCTGTGGTTGGGCGAGCCCGCCCCTGGCTCTCAGACGCCCCGGAGTAGACGTGCAGGAATAATAGAAGGAAGGGAAGCGGCAAACAACGCACACGAATCGGAAGCCGCAAGTCTCCACATGGGACGCTGGCGCACCCAAAGGAACCGCAACCCTGTGTCGAAACACGATCTGTCGTCCCGCCGTTTCTTCTCAACGCGCCTAAATAGACGAAGCCGGCACCGCAGCTCGTCGCCGCCAGGCGTCGTCGTCGTGCCGCCGCCGCAGCCGCCGCCGTCGTCGTCGTCGTCGCCGTCGTCGTCGTCGTCGCCGCCGCCGCCGCCGTCGTCGTCGTCGTTGCGCCGTCGTCGTCGTCGTCGTCGTCGTCGCCGTCGTCGTCGTCGTCGTCGTCGTCGTCGTCGTCGTCGTCGTCGTCGTCCGTCGTCGTCGTCGTCGTCGTCGTCGTCGTCGTCGTCGTCGTCGTCGTCGTCGTCGTCGTCACCGTCGGCTTCGTCGCAGCGACGTCGCCCTATGCGGAGGCGCTGCGATAGACAACCCTGGCCTCCACCACGCCGTCGTAGGTCTTCGGAGGTTTCTGGTAGCCTCTTGGGGCCCCTGGCCCTGGGGTGCTTTCCAGCAACTGCGCCTCATCGAAAGCCTTCTGGGGACGCACGGGTCATCCCGAACAGCCCTTTGCGAAAAGAGCCCAAGCCTCTCGCCATCGCTCGGACGTCCTTTCCCCGTGTATTCTTCGGTTTCGTGCGCGTATTTTTCGCAAGATGAGCTCACATGCTCCGCGATGGCCCTCTCCGAGACAAAGATGCACACGTCCGAGCGATGCCAAAGCCTCCACCGTCCCAAACACATCCGGGACGGCCCCGGGGCCAGGACGCACAGCCTCCCAGCGGGGGCTGGGGTTCAGAGCCCTGGAGCCCCGCGTACGGTTACTCCGTATGATAAGGATGCGCGGTGGGGATGCAAGGGCCTTTGAGGGCCACGATCACGTTGTTCGAACGAGGTTGGCCAGCGAAAGCGGCCAAAGATGGACCGAGGAGGCAGGGATGCAAGGGAACCTTTGGGAAGGTTACCGTCCTTGCCATGCGGGTTGACTGCATGGAAGAAGCGAAGGCGTCGGATGTCTGGGAATGGGAAAGGGATTGGAGGCTTGGACCTTGGAGGCGGCCAGAGGGTCTGAAATGGCTGGGACCACAGAAAATCGGCCGTTCAGAATCGATCCCCGGACCCTCCCAGGGTGCATCTGGTCCAGTTTTGCACCCCGGATCCGTTGCGACATTCCCAGGGTCCCGAAAACGGCACCCTGAGGCCGACATATGCAAAAACACTTCACGAACCCAGAACCTCGAACCTGCCCACCCTTCCTGCTGGCCGGAACCAAAGATGGGTCACCTCAGAACCCAAGCCGGCTCCAAGATGGACCGACATCGAGGCATGCAGTGGGACCCACGCCGAGGCGACGCCAGGGGCGGGGCGGGCCGAACTGACGTTGGAGCCTCGCACCGAGCAAGTCCCCCCTCGTGCGGAACGACCTCGAGCCGATGCAGTGGGAGGGGGATGCAAGCGACGCGTCGTGGTCACCCTCACGGAACGCCCATGGTGTGCGCGCGCTGCACAGCCGCGGGATCATGATCATCCCAATAATCAAAGTCGAGCCGAGGCCTAGGTCACTTACGGTGAGCGTCTGTTGCTCAGCGTGTCGCGGCGGTGGCCCTGGCGACACGCCATGCCCTGCGAGCTGACAGCGTGTCGCTGCGCTTCGCGGGAGGGGAGGCTGGGCGAAACTCGGGGCGCTGACGCTTAGAGCCCGACACGTGCTTAGTGTGTTGCGCCAGGGCGTGGTGGGACCACAGCCGGGCGGCGCGACACGCCAAGCAGTTCCCGACCTTCCTCCTCCTCCTCCTCCTCCTCCTCCTCCTCCTCCTCATCCTCCTCCTCCTCCTCCTCCTCCTCCTCTTGCTCCTTCTCCTCCTCCTACTCCTCCTCGCGCTGGGCGATCGCCCGACGCGCGGACCTCGTCGCGCCCGGAGGCGCCGCACCGCTGCCCCCCCGAGGGGGGCCCCGGAAGCGCGCCAGGTAGCGCGCGGCCCTCCCCCCCGCGCCCACCTCTTGCGGGGGCCCCTCGGTGGTGCTCCGCGGCCGCAGCGCGGGGTCGGGCAGCACCCCCGAAGCTCGGGGTCGAGCAGGCTACCGTCGGGGCGTCGACCTCAGGAACCCTCGATTCATGCTGCTCCCATCGTGCTTAAGCTGTGCATTTTCTTAGGGTGGAGGGCTCCGGGTGGAACCCGTATGGGCTTTTGCACCTCGTAAATCAATCCGTCTTGGGATTCACCCTTTGCAAAGACAGGCCTCGAACATCCATCGAAACGGCATTTCAGATTTCACCCTTTGCCCTCCACCCAAAGAACATGCTCATCCCAGAAATAGTTTCGAGCGCCCAGCAAAGTGTCGGAACGGTGTCGCAGCAGCGTCGGGCGAGTGTCTCCCGGGGCCCTGCACGTGAAGGCCTTCCAGTTTCGGTACTTCCCTGGTGCTCGAAACCATTTCTGGTGGTCAAGGCTAAAGCAGAGTGGAGCATCAGAACCCTGGATAAGGAACGGGCCCCCTTTCTCCCAGAAGTTACACTTCGACTTCCCATGGGGCGGACCTCGGGAAAACTGAGGGCAAATTGCAAAACAGTATCAAGGGACACCGAGCCCCTCCCCGACGAAAAGGGCTCCTTCTTCAGCGCCCCGACTGTAGAGGCCTCCTGCGCAGGCTCCGAGCAGCTGGGGCCGGAGAATCGCGCCGCATCGCCGCTGTACCCGCGCCGTCGGCGTGGAGAAAAATCGGGCTCGGCATCGAGCCGCATCGCCGATGGACCGGCGACGCAGCGCGATTCCCAGACCTCCGACGTCAGGAGTTTCCCTTGACGTCGACCCCCAATGGTCTCGATCCATCCCGCGGGACCGGCCCCGAGCTCTGGTGAGGGCCCCCAGGGGTCGCCGACAGTGGCTAAATTGTTCGCCCCGCCCAGGAACGTGCGGTTTCGCCAACGGGGGCGCGTCGCCGAACAGGGGGGGGGACAGGCTCAGGGGGGGATACATCGACCCCCAATCGCCCACTGGTCGCCGACAGGGGTTGAATCGTCCGCCCCGCCCAGGAATGTGCGGTTTCGCGATCGAGGGCGCGTCGCCGATCCATCGGCGATGCCAGGCCGTTCTTTGACGGCCCCGAGCTCCGGTAAGGGCCCCCAGAGGCTGAACAAAGGGGAAAACCTCCCGTCGTAATTCCCCAATCAGTGTCTGCACTGAAGGGGTCCTAGCGGAAATTGAAATTAGGCGAAAATGTCCCGCCGATTTTGGTGGCCGGCTGGGTTCCTGGGTTCCCGGTTCCGGGTTCCCGGGTTCCTGGTTGTTGGCTCCGGGCCGGTCTCGGTGGGTTCCGGGTTCCGGGTCGATCTCCTTATCGATCCCATTTCAAACCATCCACTGATTGGGTTTCTTTGTATATCGTTTAACCGATCCCCATCCCCAGCGGCGTGGCCTGGGCCCCACTGGGTTATAGGTCGGTCCCTTCGGGTTTCGAGGGGTGTATCCCTAACTTGGGTGGTACTTTGGTGGGGGCCTCGAAGGGGATGGGGATGGGGATGGGGATTGGTCAAACACGATGCCGATGCTTTGGGTTTTGCTCTGGTGTAACCTTTCCATGGCTCGAAGGGGCCTGGGCCCTCGGACCCCACCTGCTCGGACCCCCCCTGGGAGGCCCAGGCGGGAGGCCACCCCGGGCTTCCCACGGCCACCCCCGCCGTGGCGGCTCGGCCTCTCGAGGCGCGGCCGCACTGCGCCACGCGCCCCAGGGAGCTCGACGCAGCCGGCAGGTTTGAGTCGGGCATGCCCTCCTACAGGAGGAGCGCTCAAACATCGTCAACACTCGATCTGGGGATGGTTTTCCTATGTTTTTGTTGAAAATCTGTTGCTGATTTGTTTTGACGATCTCTGGTTTTCCCGCCAAGCTCCGCCTGCAGGAGGACATGCACGACCTGACAGTCGGTGGAAGCCTGCGAGGGACAAGCAGCCCTTCCGCATCGCTCCGGCGGCGGAGCCGCACGGCACCGACGGACAGCGAGCCATCGAGGAGAGGTGCGATGCGCTCCTCACGCTGCGCCTCAGGATGCCCATGCAGGGCCAGGGTCTCGCGGACAGCCCTCTGGGTACGGCCGACTGAGGGGGCGAGAGCCAGAGAGGGTACGGTGCAATACGGTGTCGCACCGAAGCCACCCTGGCAGCCACCGATCGCTCCTTCCCCAATCCCCTCCCGCTCCTTCTCGACGGTGCTGCCGATGTTCCGCGCGAGAATATCATCAGGGTTGTCGTTCCGAAACTCCTCCCAGCACATCAGCTCGGCGTTCGGGTCCAACGGTGCAATCTCCTCACGCTCCACGTGCGGCCGGAGGCGATCTTGCAGCCAGTTCTCAGTGACCATACTCTCCAGAGTATCCTGCACATGGCAGTAGTGGCAGCCGAGTGTCAGGAGGCACTCGGTTGTGGGGCAGAAGTATTTCACGATGAGCAGGCAGAGCTGATCGGACCACTTAAAGAGGGAATGGGGCACCTCTGGACTGGAGGGCTGTGCCCACTCGAGCGTGTGGGGGTCGTAGCCTCGCGAGACTACACAGAGCACCACCAAGCTGGGGGGCTCACCATTGTTGGGGCAGCCCGCGTGGAGAGAGTGCTTGGGGTTGAGAAACGTGAAGCGCGTCTGCTTCGTCTTTCTCTGGTGGAGGCAGAAGAGGGCGATCTCCTCATAGTTGATCCCCAACACCTTTTCCACCTCCTTCCACAAGTCCACGCCGGCGTATTCACGCGTCAACTGCAACTTCTTGAAGCACGGCAGATCGTCGTGTGACCAGAACCCCTGCAGCTTGCAGAGGTCCCGCTCCAATAACAATTTCACCTCCACCTTCGAAACGGGGACAAGATATTACACTCTCATATAGCTTGAACCCAGATTTTCCCATGTGGCGCGGGGACATGAGACACAGAAAACGCGCACACATGCGATCACACCCGCGCTCTTTGAAACATTCGTGGCAACTCAACGACCTGAAACTTTTTGCGGGTCGCTACACCAAATAACCGACACCTGCCCGCTACCAGTCATAGTTGAAACGGAAAGGGGCATTCCAGAGCTTAGTTTACACCTTCGTACTGTGTGCGGGCACGAAGGCACAGGCAATTGCAATTAACCGCGCAAACGCAAATACGCGTGTGCGTGCGTGCGTGCGTGAATGTGGGCAAGCGTGGCGTCCTTGGCAGTTCCCCCCCCTCTCTCCTCGCCTCCTCGTCGCTTGCGTTTGAACTGTCTTCTTGTTCGCCCTGCCTGTTTCAATCTGCCCCCCCACCTGGGACCTTACGACCGCCTCAGGTTGTGGCGAAGGCGGCTTCGCTCAAAGTGCTTCATTTCCTCATCCCGAATCTCAACACGCTCGCATTCCACATCGGTGGCGGAAGAACAATGTGTAACCGAAATCGTTTTTCATGTCTTGCGCCCGCGGGCTCGCTGTGTGAGGGCCGACGAGCGGATCCCGCGTGGTACGTTCCGCCTGTTGACACAGCGCTGGTAACCAGTGGACTTCGATGATGAGGCCCAAGCGGGTTATTTTTCCGACCTGTCCTCGATGAAAAGCCTGTGCTTCGGGGCAGGTGTTTCCGTGGATTTTCTGCATGCCCATGCGTGTGCGTGTGTTCGTGTTTGTGCGTCGGTGCGCGCCTGCAACAACGCATCTGCGCAGTCGTGTGTGTGTGTGTGTGTGCATGTGTGTGTGTGTGTGCGATTGGGATTGTTGCCGCGATCACCCAGGACAGAGAAGCAGCAGGATGGAGCGGAGGACGAGGAGCAGCGCGGCGTTCACCACAAGGGGAGGGGGGGAGTTGCCCTCGCGGGCATGACCGCTGACACGTCGGCGGCTTCCCGCACCCTACCCTGGCCCCTGCAAGGCACGCGCTTTTGTTCCGTCGCGGCGCGGCAGAGGCGATCCGATCGCGCGTCGAGCAACCCAGGCTACGGCGCTGCGCATGGCCCCTCATGCAAGAGGGGGAAGGGGGGGGAGGGAGGGGGCGCTCTCATGCGGCGGCGCCGCAGGGAACGCGCGGGGCGGTCAGGCTGCGGGGCAGCCCCTGGCAGCGGCGCGAGGAGGCGTCGCGGGCGCACCCAGGGATTGGGCCAGCGCGCGGCACACACACACACACACACACCTTCACAGACACATTCAGACATTCAGGCATGCAGATGTTCACACACTCACACGCTCACACATTCAAAATCGCATTCACATGCACGTGCACATTCACATGCACATTCACATTCACATGCACGTTCGCATTCGCATTCCCACTCACACACGCAAACGCACACGCACACGCACACGCACACGCGCGCGCACACGCGAACGCACAGGCGCACGCACACGCACACGTACACGTAGACGCACACGCACACGCACACGCGCACGCACACGCGCACGAGCGCACGCACGCACGCACGCACACACGCCCACCCACCCGCACACACACACACACACACACACACACACACACACACACACACACACACACGTCCATCCCCCCGCACACACACACACACACACACACACACACACGCACCCACGCACGCACACCACACACACACACACACACACACACACACACACACACCACACACACACGCACACGCACACACACACACCCACACCCACACCCACACCACACCCACACCCACCCACACCACACCCACACCCACACCCACACCCACACCCACACCCACACCCCACCCACACCCACACCCACACCCGCACCCGCACACCCGCACACCTTCACACACGCACATACACACACGCACACAAGCACGCACGCACGTTCACACTCACACCTGCACGCGCACGCACACGCACACGCACGCGCACGCGCTCACGCGCACGCGCACACGCACACAGTCACACGCACACGCACACGCACACGCACACGCGCACGCACACGCGCACGCACGCACACGCACACGCACACGTAGACGCACACGCACACGCACACGCACACGCACACGCACACGCACGC